TTTGTTTAAATTTAATTTTTTTTTTATTAATTTATTTTTTTTTTTAAATTATTAAACCTTTTATATATATATATATATATATATATTTTTTTTTTACAATTTTGGTTGACAATCATATTTGACAACATTACATTCGTCCATTTCAAAAACTGTTTAAAATTAATGGTCCAAATTTTTACAACATCAATGTTGTTAGGGATGGCAATGCAGCGGGTTGGGTTGAGATCGGGACAACCTCCCCATCCCGCCGGGTAATTTCCTGCTCCATACCGGCCCCGTTATTCGTTTAAGGCATGGAGATGAAGAGTTGTGCCTTGATCATTCCTCCCTATGACTGCTGCCATCGAGAAACCGATCCTCACCACAACAACGGAGTGAAGTCTTAGTTTTGAATGAAAATAAGATGTTGGATAGGAAAGGCTCAATCTAATCCGGGTAGCTAAAGGGCAGCAGTTCCTCATTAATCTACCTTCGCTTCGATATAAGAAACAACAAACTACCTGTCTATGCCCAAGTTATTGGATACAAGACAGCTCGTTCCACTTGGGTCTGACCTGCTAACAAGGAACCGAAAAAGTTCGCTACTTAAGGCATAGCCGGGAGTTTCCCCTATATATATATATTTAGGGGACAGCCTAACATGGCTCACAACATGCAATGTTTCATAAATTACATATTATTATGTTACTCGTGTCTACGCTTATAAAACATAGTTTTTCACAATCAAATTGCAATTGCAAAATCTCACATGTAATACACTCCATTGGACATGCCATAAATGATAGAGTGCGTCATAGCAGAGGAAAATAGCACTATATTGCACGACAACATTGGACATTTAACAATCATAATACAACAACCCAAAATCTTAAAATGCATTGCATTACTTTCCATCACTAAAGCTAACACATGACTGAAATTTCATTTTCTAGAATCCTCTGATGCATGTTTTATGTGCTGGAATGTAGTCTACCTAATCCAATTGGCGGAATGAATCTGTCAAGCCATTTCAATTTATTATTCTATCAATCACGTTTTCTTTCAAAATTTCACGTAGAAAAGTATTAGAAATTACAAATTTCCATCTGAATTCACAATCAATACGCCCAATATCAGTTTACATTATTTAGTAACATGAAGTGGACAAAAATAGAGATTGCAATGTAATCGAATACCTAAATGTAGCAAAGAAAGCAAAGAAAAAAAATTCGAATAATACATCCAAATACATATAGATGAGATATTTTGACGAAAATCGTGCTTGATGCTATAGGAAAAAAATTGTAAATATTCCTACTATTGGCGTCGATGTCCTAAAATTTTGTTCCAATTCTCGCCAATTCAATTGTTTCTTCAATGAATCCCCACATTTTAGGAGATGTTTGATGTGATTAGAGCTATATTTGTATTTTGATTGCAGTCAATTATCTTAATTTTCATTAATACATTGGAAGTTTATGTTACATAATGACGTATTGTAGGAATAGAAATATAGTAAAATCTCGATAAATAAACAACTTTGGTTAATAATATTTTTGACTAGTCTTGACTTGAGGATAACTTGCTAAATTAATTCATCAAATTTACAAAATAATACATTATATAAAAAAAAAAAAAAATACACAAATCCTATCTAATATATCAATTAATAACTTCCTATAGTGCTATGATTCAATTATGAGATATTTCTAAAATATGATCCAATTATTGTTTGTTTTTGTTTTGATTGATGTCACCTCGATTGTACTTGCACAATGCTTTGTGTTTTTCATCAACCATAGTTGATTTCTTTCCACATTCGAGATGCGAAGCCAACATCTTATATATGCCATGTTTATTTAAAGAATAGAATTTTTGCTTGGTTAAATGTTTATAAAATGGAATAATGCAGTATATTAAATAATGTACAATCTATTTTTGTGGAAAATAAATAGATTCATGGATTTCACTTGTTTGAGCAAATACAAAGAATTATTAGTTCGTAAAATGAGAAACTAATATAATGTACAGTTTTTAAGAAAATATTTGATAAATTAATAAGTTACTAATTAATCAATAATATTAATAAATATTAGTTTATCGTTTATTTAATATTAGCTAAGTTAACAGAATTCCGTTGGTCACAATCACAAAGCTATTAATTTATTGAGGTTTAACCGTAAATGTTTAGGGGTGCGTTTGATTTGCGTTTCTCTTTTCTCTTTTCAGTTTTGAATTCATTTTTTGTTTTCTATCTTGAGGGATTATTTTAAGATTCCAAAAAATGCTGTTGATTTGTTATTCTGAAATATTGTTTCTCAAAATAAAAAAACTAAAAAATGCATTTGGTTTAAAAATTTTAGAAATAGTTTTATGACTTCTTTTTTTATTAATTTGATTATTTAGTAAATTATATCAATTTTATGCTAAATATTTGATAAAAAAAATATAAATATTAAACTTGTATTTGGGTAGGTTTTGTGTGATTTTATTAATTATTTTAATTGGAGAAAATTTTAAGTTCATTTTTCTTGTTTTGAGTTTTTTAAAAACACACAAAACGTCAAAAATTCATTTTGAGTTTTATGTTGTAAAATTTTCATTGTTTTCGAAAACGTAGTTTTAAAAATAACATACTAAACACATTTTGAGTGTTTTAGAAAACTAAAAACTGAAAATAACCTTAAAACGGCAAACCAAACACATTTTAATATTTTTGGAATGTGATAACTTCACAAATATACACTACTTTTATTTTACAACTTAAAAATACCTCTTTTATAATTTTATTTGAGTACATTTTTTAATTAAAAATAAATATTTTACATTACCTCATTATATAACTTTTTTTAAATATACCTCATTTTCGTTTAAAATTAATATTTCAACTTTTCATTAAAATCAACATCTTTAAGAGTTACATGTTTGGGTCACGGGTGTATGTTAATGTGTTACTTAGAGAATAACATTAAAATGTTTCAGTTTT